AACCCAAAGGTTGTGGGTTCGAGTCTCGTACCGGCAGGGATTGTAGGTGGGGGGAGTGAATGTATAGCCCTCTCTCGCACCTTCAATATCACGACTGAGGTGCCCTTGAGCAAGGCACCGAACCCCAACTGCTCCCCGGGCGCCGCGGCATAGCATATGTATGGTGACTTCACGTCACTTAATAATAAAATTGAGTGTTTACTATTGTCCTTCTGCATTATTACACACTATTTTCCTAATGAATGACACAATCTGTATTGTTAAAAGCGCAATATAAATAAAGGTGACTTGACAAGTGACAAACATGGGACATGCTTATCAATGTCTGCTGAGAAAGGTCATTTCCCTTGAGCAAGGCACCGAACCCCAACTGCTCCCCGGGCGCCGCGGCATAGCATATGTATGGTGACTTCACGTCACTTAATAATAAAATTGAGTGTTTACTATTGTCCTTCTGCATTATTACACACTATTTTCCTAATGAATGACACAATCTGTATTGTTAAAAGCGCAATATAAATAAAGGTGACTTGACAAGTGACAAACATGGGACATGCTTATCAATGTCTGCTGAGAAAGGTCATTTTTTTTGTTTATTTTAACATCCTGATCATATGATTCCTTAGCTTTTTAAAAAATATATTAGCCTAAATAAGCTGACGAAACACATGATTACTGTAACTGTGAAATGTTGTGCAAGCTGTCTACTTTTACAACTTCTCTTACAAAATGTAACCATGGTTTTACAATTAAAAAATACATAAATATATATATAATGAAGAATTTCCAATCAACAGAAAATGTTACGAGACTGTCTGGAAGAGGACGTGTGTCTATATCGTCCTAATGCACGCTGAGGAGAGTTTGAGTGGATAAAGACTCTCTGAGGACCACAGCTGGAGAATTGAGTCTCGGGGTCAGAAAACCCAAAAAGGGGTTTGGTGCACACAGGGATATAAAGTACGCCATGTGTACAATTAAATATTCTGCTGTATTTGTGATGTTGTGGGCCTATATTTCTGCTGGACATCTTGTTTAGACACACGGCATCATGGATTCTATCAAATACCAACAGATAAAAAATCAATAAGTGACTGACTCTGTTAAAAATCTTATAATGGGCCATGTTTGGATCTTCCAACCGGACAATAATCCAAACACAAATCTCAAAAACAACACAAAAATGGGTCACTGAGCACAAAACCAAGCTTCTGCTCTGGCCGTCCCAGTCCTCTGAGCTGAAGCCTATAGAAGATGAGAGTGGTGAACTGAAGAGGAGAAGCTGGGAATCTGAAGGGTCTGGAGAGATTCTGGATGAAGGAATGGTCGCTGATCTCGTGTCAGGTGCTCTCTAACCTCATCAGGCATTACAGGAGAAAACTCAGAGCTGTTATTATGCCAAATGGAGGTTTCAAAAAGCATTGAATAAAAGGGTGCCGTTAATTGTGTCTACGCGAGGACTGGAATTGAGAACCGCTGGTCTAGAACAATTCTTACAAGTACAACACGACGTAGCTGGGTGCCGCCGGTGTGCTACACTCATAGAAAATAAAGTATTTGAATTTTAAAGACGTGGCGCGGCGCTGTGCTTCTCGTCCGGTGTGCGACGGCCTGAAACGCTGTTTTTTTCATCTCCGTGTCAAGCATGAGAGCATGTTCTAGTACACCCCCAAAACAAAATCAAGACTTTGTAAAAGAGCATAATAGGACCCCTTTAATAAACAAATCAAATAAGTTCTTGGCCTAATCACTACTCATAATTTTCATAAAATCTCAAAAGACCTCTGTATACATGGCTAGCTCCTTTTTAAAGACATTAAACTGGGGTGCTGCTTTCAAAACTTTACATTTGTGAATAAAGCATTGTAATATAAAAAGTAAACCATTTACAACAAAGTCTGCATTTTTGTCCAACAAATGCACTCCAGATTTATTATTAGAGCTGATAATCACCAGTACTGTGGTATTATCGTGTGAAATCAGCATGTTCACGGCTTTATTTCAGTTGTGTGCTCATTAGTGATCTTCATTCATTAGTGCTTATTCTGTGTAATTATATGTTTAGTCTGTGTGTCAGGATCGTTTACAGACCGTCAGTGTTTGTTTGTTCCTCCATCATTCAGTTTCTCTCTCTCTCAGAGAGTTGATGAACACAGCTCTGCATCGCTTCATTAGACTGGGTGACCACTGACCCGTAAGATGCTGAGAAGTGTGCCGCCGTGTTTGTTCATTAATGATGCTCCTAGCTTTAGGGTTATTGTCATCATTAGGAAAACCTGTGGTATTGTTAGTGCACTGCAGTAGTTTCTCTCCACAGGAACACACTCTGATCTCATTCAGTCATGGACCAGGACTACGAGAGCCGGCTTTTACGACAGATCAACATTCAGAACCACAGCAAGAACAGAGATCCCCCTCAAAGGATGCTTTAGATGCTTTAGATGGCAAAAACACACAGCCCTCGTGTCACTGCTGGTAATATGCGATCATGGGTGTACATGAATTAGCTGTGGTTCTTGATCAGGTGTGATGTACTAATCGTGTGATCTCCGGCATTCTCCTCATGCAGCAGTACACCGAGCATGGCCTGGTCTCGTCTGCAGTGACCGACACCGGATCACAGGCCTGTCCAAACACACCGACGAGCTGATACGTGTTCGGCACAGTAATATTACCCTCGTGCAGAGCTGCTTTTCTTCCTTTGTGTTCATTTGGTAAGAAGCCCTGCTTACTTGAACTATGAGATCAACGAAGGTAAAGAGCCGTGTCAAACACCGATGACTTCACTCGAGAAACTGATTTAAACACACTGTGGTGCCCTCAAATAAGACCGTTGCCATGCCAACCTGCCACTGTAACCACTGTAAGTTTGCACGCTTGCCCCGCCCCCGGGGGCTTCTGATTGGTCCTCTGTTTTGGAACTGACATTGATGAGCGGCGCTGCGTGTAAAAGCTAAAATTCTTTTAACTTAACGTGCTTTAAACATGAGACGCTGCAAAAGACATCCGTCTAGCGTGCGTTTACCTAAAATATACTGGAAGAGTAGCACATCGGAGTGGAAAAACCCATTCTGAGTGTAACTAACTTTATATTATTGTATGAGAAATCTGCACGTGCATCCATTAGCTTGAAAATCACACAATTACTCATTTTATTAAAAGTGAGGCTACACTACTGATGCTGTGGAGAACCGCTATCATTACATGCACTGATCTAATTAGCTCCAGTATTTTCAGCTCAGAGATGAACCGATGATCGTGTTTCGTGTCTCTGGTTTCTTCAGGAGTCCATATCAGTTCTGAATCTCTTCACACAGATCTGATAATGACCGTGACATTACAGGAACATCCTAGAAATCAATAAACTGATCATCAGTCACATGACATCCCCATTTCCTCTGGTGCTGTTCGACAACAGGAAGTGATGAGGACAGAACAGGAAGTATGATGTTAGGAGACTCTCATTACTGCCAAATAACTGCGTGTGTCATTCGGGATTGTTTTAATTCACCGCTGTGCT